AAACATTGTTTTATATATATAAATTTTTTAATTGTTTGATAAATCTGTATAGATATAATTTTTTAATTATAGCATATAAGAAAATAAATACGTAAATACATATAAATAAATCTGTACATAAATTATGTAAAAATTGGAAAATATATTTTTGTATGATAAATCATTATTCGCTTATAATAAACATGCATAAGTTCAAATATTTACATTTTCGTTTCTAGAGCATCTAGCTGAGTTTGAATTTTCTCTAAATTATAATAAAGATCTGTCAACTGTTTCTTGTCAAATTCCACTGTTAGTGTAGATGTCTTATCACCAGTTAGACCAAGTTGAAGTAAAGCTACAGGTCGTGCATCTTTGGAAATTGCAGAGGACGATGACTGAACATTTAGACACCAATTGATATCTTTTACCTTGTCAAACAATATAAAAGTATAATTAAGTCCTTTGCTTAATTCGCTTAATAATGATCAATCTATATTAATTGCCATTAATTAAAGTTTCCTTCTATCTATGTTCATGTTCAAATACCTGGGTAGGAAATATAGATTTTTGCCTAAGATTTTCTACAATGCCTTTGCCATAAGTCATCCATGCATTTGTAAAGATTGATATTTTCTCTTCATCTATCTTAAAATTGTCCTTCATGACTGTTTCCATGAGAGATGGTTTGACAACATTACATGCAGCTTGCGTGTAAATTGATGTAATAGTATCTAACAGGAGAATTAACTCATCTTTTGTTAGATCTAAAGAAACCAGCAATTTTTCTTCCTCCTCCTCATTGAATACCTTTGTATCAATGCTAGATTGCAAGCTCTGGCATATATGGTTGACAAGAAGACGGAATTTGCTATTATTATCCAGTCGAGCTACTATTGTTAAACCTTGCTCTAATCTATAATAAATGATACAAGTGAAAATTGCATTTGTGTTTTTCTGTTAAATGATAAATTATGACTATCCTAATTAAGATGATAACAAAATACAGTCACATACGCAATTATTTATAGAATTCTGCATGTTGGTAATAAAGATGAAATGCTAGTATGTATACATACTTTGAAGTTACATTGATCCAAGCAGCCATTATAATTGGATAAATAAATCCTTATATATTATTTTTCTTTCATAATATCTTAATTTTTATCATAACTCTATCTCTCACGCTCGTAAAAGAATCTTGGAAACTAGTACTACACTGTGCATGTTATAACAATCATGAATGAAACCTCTGACATTTCTCAGTTGCTAAAAATGCTCCATGTTCTCGCTTCTCGCTCTCGCTTTTACCACGAATCATGCATGAACTAGATGTTCGTATCTCAATATGGATACACAAAAAAATAACTAACATATGTGTCGAAGGCTATAAAAAATGATATGATTTATATTTTGCAATAGAGAAATTAAAGTTAGAATACAATGATAATACAATGATGTCAAATTTTTACACATATATGTAATGCATGATGAGATCAACCTTGAGACGTTTGTGTTCCTAAACTCGACGAGAAATGTTAAAATCTTTTTGTCCACGATTATGTGTATATCTGTCCAATTAAAACTAAATAGACTTTGATATTTACATAAATATTTTTTTGCATATTATATATATAGAAACTGCTTGTTTGAAGTTTCACACATGCACACGTGCAAATCTTTATATACATATATATTATGCATTCGTATTCGAAATAACACATCTTTATATCCTATTATCATTGTTCTGTTATCTATGTGATAAGGATTCTATTTTGATAGTTACACAGTTACGCAGTCGCTCTCATCTCTTGCATTCATTTTACAAGCGAAAATGTCATCAGAAGCTTATGATGTCAACTATGACAAAGTAATAGCTTATATATGTGTATTAAGTAATATAATTTTTATGAAATCTAAAAATTTGATAATTTATGAATTTATCGAATTATTCTAAATCTATTTTTTTTTTTTTTTTACACAGGAACATCCAAGAAATCTTATTCCAGAACTGTGTAGACAATTCTATCATCTTGGATGGGTGACTGGTACAGGAGGCGGTATCTCCATCAAACATGAGTTAGTATATTTGCAATAATATATATATTTCAAAAAGAATTTATTGTTATTTTTATGAGAAAATGTTAGCGGAAATATAAAAATGTTTGTTAAAATTTTTGTTACAGAGATATGATCTATATCGCTCCTTCTGGTGTACAAAAAGAGCGAATGTTGCCCAATGATATGTTTGTGCAAGATATCAATGGAACAGATTTGGAGTTGCCACCACCAGAAAAGAAATTGAAAAAGTCACAATGTACTCCACTATTTTTATGTGCTTATTTAAGGAGGAATGCAGGTGCTGTTATTCATACACATTCTAAATTTGCTCTAATGGCAACATTATTATGGCCTGGAAAGGAAGTCAGACTCACTCATCTTGAGATGATAAAAGGTATTCAAATTATTTTAAAAAAACACTTTACATTTGAAAATGAGAGGAATTCGAAGATGATTTCAAATAGTTTAATTAACAGGTATATGGAATCAGAAAGAAGGTAGAACATATCGTTATGATGAAGAATTAGTAATACCGATCATAGAAAATACTCCTTTTGAGAGAGATTTAAGAGATGATTTAGATGACATTATCGTTCATTATCCTGAAACTTGTGCAGTATTGGTACGCAGGCATGGGATTTATGTGTGGGGTGATTCTTGGCAGCAGGCAAAAACTATGTAAGTTACTTTATTCGTATATTACCAAATGTTTTCTTGTAGTAAAATAAAATTTATTTATAATAATTTTATATCTCTTTATCTTTAAAATGTTTTTTTCTTTTTTTAACAGGACAGAATGTTATGATTACTTGCTTGATATTGCAGTTCAGATGAAACAATATGGATTAAATCCACTGGCAACCCCAAATGATTATGAATTAAAATATCAGGCAAATGGTACATCAGAATAGCAAGAAATTTTAATACAAACGGCATTTTGATGCCATAAATTTGTATATCTTTAAATTATGTATATATTTGACACATATTGAATGTGCACATAAAAAATTTTTATAGAAATTAAGATAAAAAATGAATTACTTAGCGCTGATTATATTTATATTTCACACATTAGTATATACAATTTTTTCTGGTTTATAGTTTTAATTATAAACTTTATACTACTAAAAGTAGTATAAATCATCAAATGTCTATGTCAAATGTCGCGAATTGTTTCCTAATTTTATTTGCTAGTTCAGTTTCTTCCTCTTGACTCATATGACAATCCTTCCAGTCGGATCTGTCATTGATATCTAATATCCTGTCGGACGCCAATACTTCTCTGCCGAATTGTAAAGGGAAATCTTTTTTAATCCTGTAATACAACATCTCTCCGTTCGGTAGTTCTGCATAAAAATATAGAACACCAGGTTTTGCGATCTGCTGTAAATCGGCATGCTGCGGCAATTCCATTATTTTGAAATTGTTACATTCAGCCAGTTCCTAAAAACAAAAATTCGTACACATTAAATATTAGACGCGATAATAAAGGACATTAGATTTTAGTATTATAATAAAAGAAATACCTCAAACATTTCTTTCAGTGCGGGTGCTTGATTTTTATGAACTGGTACTGCTTGCAGTTGACAATGAGACGTTTTGAAGTTTCTCTCGAAAAATACTGGTACTCTATTGGTACTTTCATAATATTTAGTCACAGCTTTCTTGTAAAGATCCATCTCCTCCTTTACATTCTTTGGTAAGATTGACAAACTCTGATGATGCGTTATTGGTAAAATTAAGAAATGATCCTCTACCAAACCACCTTTTGCTAATGCTAAATAGATCTCTGTGCCAACAGAAATCACCAGATGCTTAGACACAACAGGACTAGATAGGCAGAACCAGCATTTTGATTGATCAAATTCCAGTTTTGGCTTTTTATTGAGATTATTCTGGTGCCGCAATCTCTTCCCATTGTCTTTCGAATCCATGTCATAGAAAAACTGCGTCTGAGTTTGCTTTTGCGACATTGGATCATCAGACAGCATAGATATGGAATATGGACTCGACGTTTCATCTGTCGTTTTCATAATTAAATCTGACAATCTACTTCTATCAACAGGAGTTAAATTCAATGCATACAACCATTTTCTCTTGTGAGCATTCATTACTGGTGCCAGAGCTATGAATCTAGTGGCTATTTCCATATTTCCATCGCCCTGACTTTGATTTCTGTAATGAAAATATTCAGATTTGAAACACACATATCTTATTTTAAACATGGCAATTCTTATACAAGAACTTTTAAGATCTTTTTAAAAATAGTTAAAAAGTTTTGAAGAATAAACTTACCTGTATGGTGGCCGTTCATAATAAACCCCTTCCAAAGCTGATACATGATATCTAGGTTTAATATGAGTAGCGAGCCAAGCAATTAATTTGGAACCCTGGTACTTGCATTCTGATTTGTTACTGTCAAGATTGGTTATGCCCTCAGGCCACGGAGATGTCAATAAGATATCTACACCACGAAAACTCGGTTGGCCTTTTAAGCAACTGTTCTTGATGGATGTAACATCATGTTCATTAAAGTGTATGTCTTTGTTCTCAGTCGATGCTTTTTCAATTCCACTGAGATATGCTATTTTGAGACCTGAACTAGCAGTATAAAGACCACGTTTTCCGAGATAGGTGATATTTTGACATATCTCGTATCCATCCCCATCGGTGTAGTGTTTCAGATCCGATTCCCTGTTAGGTCCAATAATATATGTCGGCACAGAAATGGTTTTTTCGCAGGACTTATAGGATTCCAACTCGGAATTATCTTCACCGAAAAAATTACCAACGCATAATAAGAAGTCAAATGGACCACTCTTCTTGTTGATAGCGTCCACTTTAGAGAACAGAAATTTGAAGTGTCCCTCCACATCTCCGCAAATAAGAACTTTCTGCTTATCGCTCATGTCTAATAATATAACTAATGTAATAACAGTTTACGTCGATATATCAATAATAAACAATAATTAACAATGATGTTTCATTGCTTTTCTCAAACACTTTTAGATTATCTCAACAAAAAGAACTCTTTTGATTATCTCTATAAATATTATTTTATTTTGTAGGTTAAGGATCGGCAGGAGTGACGGCTGTGACGCGTTGCTAGCAGGCAGCCTCGAGATTTCGAGATCTCGAGAATCATATATTAGCGGCTTGATTCGTCTAATAAATCTCGCGTCTCTTATCGCATTTAGTTCGATTATTTTACAATTGTAACATAAAAATTACTAATTAAATAAATATTCTAATTACACTGAAATTTATTCTGTTTATAAAAAATATAAACTAATTAAAGAAATAAAAGATAGTAAGAGCGTAAATGTGATAGAAATCGATCCGTTCTTGGCCAACATGTAGGTTTTTTTTCTCAAAAAATCATCTGTTATTAATTTAGAAAGATGATTTATTAGTTAGCACAAGAAAAATTAAATAAAAAATTAAATTATATGTTATTTGTTTAAAACAAATTATTCTGATAGTATACTTTTTATTTTGTTAATAGTAAATACAAGTAAAAAAAAAAAAAAAAAAAAAAAATTTTAAAATAGGGGACCGATCCCGCGCTGCGATTTCTATCTATTAATAGACGGCATAAACACGGCAGAATGACGATAGGCGGAGGTTTGCGCGAGGAAGAAAAACAAGCTTCACGGATGACAGCCACGGGGAGACATTGATGGCCGCCGGTTGTCGGTTACGTGCGTCGAATCACGATGCAGAATCCCCCGCGGTGCATTCGTTTGCGAGAGCGCCTGCATGTTCCCGATTTAATTGTATGCTAATGCCGCGCGCTCTCGATCCAAGCGTGAAAGCCGTGGCTGCGCAAAAAAATATTTTTACAATAATATGAATTATTTTATTGTATATTTTTTTGTAAATGGACAACGTACATATTGTTGCTCAACGGAAACCGCGAGAAGGTAGTGGTCTCTTTCGTCAGGAGGAAATGTTTTCTTGAATATTATATTAAATATTGTCTCATAAGAGACAAATACTTTTCGTCAATGTTTATAGCTGTTTCACCCCTCGTCTTCAATCAAGTCAACGCTGATTTTATTACGCAAGTGGCATTAATGGTCCAAAAACTTGTTATTATATCAAAAAATCATGTAATGGACAATCTTTTACATATATTTCCTCTGCAGCAGTTAGAAAATTGTAAACAGTTCTGTCGAACGGTTATAACTGTATCCATATGACCTTCCATCATTAGATTATTAAGGTATACTCTTCACATTCTGACCCAACAAAAATTTTGTCCTTCTGAATTTCTTTGTGTGTAAAATTTATATTTGTGACCACGTCTTTTAGATATTCTAGAATATCATGAATAAAGATATCACTAACATTGTCATATATATTATATATATGACAATGTTAGTGATATCTGTAATATATATATATATGTATATATCATTAAACATATCTGTTCTTATAAACTTCTGTAGATTACAAAAATAAATTCTTTTTTAAGCTGAAAATTTTTACTTATGTACTTAATAATATTATAAAAAAAAAGTTTTTATCAAATCGTTGCGCTGTAAAGAAATCTAGAAAATACTCATTTTTCGAAAGTTCAAACGGATATGTCTCTTTAAGGGATCTTCCTAGTTTGACATTCTGAAAATAAAGCGATTTTTGGGAATTTCTTTTAAAGGAAAATATAAAACATATTAATTCTAAACTTTGCACGTTTATTAAATAACATTTCAAATATATCCTGAATTTTTTTCAGACAAAAATATTTGTTTGTTTCGGAGTTATAGTAGTCCAATCAGAGTGTCTCAAAAAATAATTATTGTTCGTGGCGAACATGATTCCAGCCATTATAGTCATCTGAAATTGAAAACCAAAAAGATTCTTAATCTGCATGAATATGGCTAACGTGTGAACTAGAATTAAATATTATATTTGCAAAATTCGAATTTTGAACAAAACTAATCAATTTTTTGATAAAAAATGAATTTTTTTTTTTGAGTCGCTGTCATTTTTTTATTTTTCAATATTTTTTTTATTCTATTTCACGCAATAGCCACACATACAGATTAAGAATCTTTTTGGTTTTTTTATTTTAGATGACTATAACGGTTGGAATCATGTTCGCCACAAACAACAATTTTTTTTGAGACACCCTGGTTGGACTACTATAACTCCGAAACAAACATTTTCGCTTGAAAAAAATTCAGAATATATTTGAAATGTTATTTAATAAACGTGCAAAGTTTAGAATTAATATGTTTTATATTTTTCTTTAAAAAAATTCCCAAGAATTGTCTTTATTTTCAGAATGTCAAACTAGGAAGACCCCTTAAGAGAGTAATTTTTTCACGAAACAAATGGTGTAAACGCTATATAACTTCATTTATTAAAATCTTATTAATGAAAATATTGGATCTTATTAATGAAATATAAGAATTTTTCAAATTTAATAAGAATATAATCAAATAAAGCAAAGAACGATCTAAAGAATGTAATCACGACGGATAGAACCGCGGCATTTCAAAAAATATATTTTAAAAACTGCTGTTGCGTCGAAACCGTTTAACAAGGTAAATAGAAAAATTTGAAATTTCTACCATAGAGATTTTACCTTTTTACCCCGCCTCTATTGTGAACTATTACAATAATTCATGTAACATGAAAGTGTCATGTGTTAGAGCAATGTGTGCAGTACATATGTTAACCATTTCCGAGCCAAAAATTCTAAAACCCAGATGTGAGAGACAAAGCGCAAGGTATAAAACACATGTTAAAACAGGTTAGTGTTTAATAAAAATACAAGGACATAACAAACAACAGAAAAAAAAATTTATGTGTAGTAAGTAATAAAAAAGCATCTCGCATTTTCATGCAAGTTCTGAAAAAAAAAATATATATATATATATATAGTGAATATAGTAATATATAAGTCAAATTCGGCAAAAGAATGTAATTACTTTTTAAAATTATTTTTAAAATTCAAATGTATATATGTGTATATATATTGTCGATTTTAAGAATTTTAATTGTATTATTACATACATTATTTTATACT